CACATCACATATAAAATTTGATCATAACTGCTATCTCAACTTACTACCTGCCATCCCATCCCCTACTTTCCCTTTTCTCTCTGATTCAGGCCACTGTTATTTAATGCCAGTGTTCTGTATCACAGCCAGATTGATTGTTTTTTCATTGTGGGGAAAGTATACACAGCAAAGCACTTGTATGCCAGCTCAACAATTTCTGCCTATGTAATTCAGTGACACATGTTTTAAGTTATGCAACCACATTCACTCTGCTTTGCCACATAATTTCACCACCATTTATAAAAATTCACTACCCCCAAAGCAAAATTTCTTGCTTTCCCCCTAGCATCTGCCCTTGGTAACCACTGCAGTTTTCAGTTTCTATGTATTTATTTAAGGAGCCCTGGTGGTGTGGTGGTTATGCATTGGGCTGTTAGTGGCAAGATCAGAAGCTCAAAGCCACCAGCTGTACTACAGGAGAAAGACAAGACTTTCCACTCCCGTAAGGAGTTACAATCTTGGAAACCTATCCCACAGGGTCACTGTGAGTTAGAACTGACTTGATGTTACTGGTTTTGGTTTGGTGGGTGGTGAAGCAGGGTAAGCATTAGAGTGCTAACTGCAAGGCTGACGGTTTGAACTCAGTTGCACTGCACGACTGATGCAGCAGTCTGCTTCCTTGACGCTTACAGCCTTGGAAATCCCATGGGATGGTTCTACTCTGTTCTGTAGGGTCACTATGAGGCAGAATCAACTCCACAGTAGGCTTGTGTTTGGTTCTATATTTGTTTATTTCATACAAGTAAGACAATACAGTATTTGTCCATTTTTGATGGACGTATTTCACTCAGCATGATGTTTTGAAGTGTCATCTATGGCTGAGTAATACCCTATTGTATTGTGGGAGAAAGTTTCATAGTATCAGAAACCCATGGGGGCACTTCTTCTCTGTCCCTAGAGGATCACTTTGAGTCAGTATCAACTCGATAGCAGTGAACTGAGTTGTTGAATATCACATTGTATGTATGTACCATATTTTATGTAGACATTAATCTCTTGATAGACATTTTTGTTGTTCCCACATGGCTACCGTAAAAACTCTGTTACATGAGCAGAATTTGCATCCCTGCTCAAAACAAAATCCAACAATTTGTAAACTTCTAAGGCTCTGGCTTCTGGTTACTTTTCTTCCAAACCATTTTATTAGGACATAATCCAGACATCAAACCATTTCATAGTTCAATCATATCAAGAAGTGTTATACTACTATCACTACCACAATCGGTTTCAGTCTGGTTACTCTCTTCATCTCACGTCTCAATTCAAGAGTCTCTGGACCTGTCTGAAGCTATCATAGTATGGTGTCATGCAAGGAAGGACTTAGCAGGGGGGATGGCATGGCAGTCCCTATTGTAGGAGTGAATGGAAGGGTGACTCTAGTCAATTCTTTCATGGATCCTGAAGATAAAGGATAAGAAGGAGTGAAGACAGTGATGAGGGGGAATTCGGGGCTGAAGGAGGCTTTCTTCCTCTTTCACAGGTGACAAACTTGAGTGGATTTCTGTCTCGAAAGGAGCCCATGAGAAAGAGAGATTAGGCTGTTGGTCACTCACTGACCAGGGATACAATGAAATCAGTATTTCTACAAGCAGAGGCACAAGGCCTGGGTCAGTCTGAAACTGTAAATTGCCTGAAGTCATGTTCCTTGTTTAGTTGTCTGGTTTCTGTCCATCACTTCAACCTTTCATATGGGTACTCTATACTTGCTAGTCCCCTAGCAATCTCTGCTCCTTCTTTCTTTCTCTACTCCAAGGGTTCTGAACTCTGCAGAGGGACCTAGCCCAATTAAATAAAATTTTGTGGGGCTCCTGTTAGTGCTGGAACTCCATTGATATTCCAGTAGTGTGAAGGAGCTGTCTAAAGCATTTAAATGTGAAGCCCTTCATAATATTGACTTACTTCCTTCCATATTCGACTTCATCTTCCCCTCCTTCAAAGTTGAACTTATCCTTTTTATTAGACTCATCCCTCTCATACCCTCCCTCCTAGTAGTTGGTGTCAGTCCAGCTATAGCTCATTATTCATAATTTCCTATATAATTCAACCCAGCTCTACACGCCCAAGAAATCATCCAGTTATCCACTAAACCTTAGCACTGCTACACAAGCCGATAGTGTATGAGTCTATGTGGATAAACTTACTAAACTTGTAGGGGAATGAGTGCATAAACTTAAGTTTAAATGAAGGTTTTCCTAGTTACTGTGTAACCTTGGGTGTACAGGTCTCCCTCTTTCTGCCTTGATTTCCTCATTAGTAAAATGACAGTAATAATACCTATCAAATAATGTTGTGATGATGAAATAAATATAGAAAGCACTTAGGAAAGGGTCTAGCTCATCACAAGTGATCACTGAAGAGTAGCTGGACTATTTTATAGTTTTATATAGTTATCTTTTACCTCATCAACAAGGTTGTATGTTCTTTCTTCAGGGCATGGTCTAAGTCTTACAGTGATCTTACTAGTACAAGGCTCACTATGCAATAAATGCTTACCACATATTTGTTGGTTTATCAAAAGTAATTGCTGTTTACCCCAGATTACTTGCTTTAGAAAGGGGGATGTTGCTAGCCAAGTTTAGAGCCTACTTTTGGCACATTTTTTGGTGATTTGGGGCTTCCTTTGTGGCACCCGAAGGAGCCCTAATGGCAGTAAGACAAGCATTGGATTGCTAACCATAAGGTTGAAAAATGATTCAAACTCATCTGTGGTAGAAAGATGAACCAGTCTAATTCCATAAAGATGTAAAGCCATGGGGACCCTATATTGCAACAATGAGTTAGAATCTATTCCATGGCAGTGGCTTGGTTTGGTTTGGGACCCAGCTATGACTTTGTAAGAAACTATTGCCTTGGCTGTATTCAGTTCTGGCAAAAGTTTCTTATATTTCTGTTGTGTCCATAGAATTAGTTACTGTTTTTGTGACAGCTGCTGGCCTTTGCTCACTGGAAGCCAAGGGTGGTAAGCTTTCAACAACCGAGCAGTGCAAGTGGTGAAAAATGAAAGATTGTCTTTTCCGATATGTGAAGTTTCCCTTTTGAGAAACAGGAGGTAATATGGCAGCTCTTCTGGAGAGAAAGCTCAAGGAGAGGGGCAGAATGCTCACTTTGTTAGAAATCCACTCTTCCTTCCACTTTACCCTCCCCCATTAGGCAAAGGAAGTATAGGTGGCTTTAGCAGTACCTCCACCCCCTGGTGATTACTGTTTTTCCCTGTACCAAGGCAGTGGGGACCCACAGAGGCTAACTGCCTCTTCCAGATCGCAGTAAGTAGGGAAGGCAGAAGCAGTACAAATCTGGCCAGCACCAGCAAATCTGGGTTTTTATTTATATATTCATGTATCTTGATGTCTTGGCATTTAAAACCATGGCTGATAATATAAAGAACATTCATGTAACAGCAAGTCTGCATAAAAAATAAAATCAATGTTTCAAATTCGTTTGAAGGTTTGGTATGTGTATCCACATCCTAAGCTTATGTTTCTATCTCCTTTTGTAGAGAAACTCAAGTAGCAGAGAAGACATACCTGTTATGCTCACTCTATAAAATATAATGTTATTACAGAGGTCTAAAATGCTTTGTATTAGAAATGAAAAACCTAAAAATTTGAGCAAAACTGAAAGGAGGTAGTAGAAAGTAATTTAAAATGTGATAATTCCATATATGTAAAGCTTGAAAATATTTAGAAATATAGTGTTACTTACAGATCCGTGAAAATGATAAGCAACAAATTAACGATGATGGGTACCTGTGGAGAGGGAGGCAGAAGCACGAACTCAGAGAATATACAGGACTTTCATGATATCTGAAAAACTTTATTTTTATGTGGCATTTGATATGATATGCTATGATATATAAGTAGTATGATATAAGAAGTTTCAAAAAGTTTGTGTAAAATGAGATGAAAAGATACTTAAAATTTCCACAAACTTTTTTGAGATTACCCACCCCCCCTTTACATTGTTATATTATTCTGATGGCTAAATTACCCACAAATAACAGTTTACATTTTTCAGGACTTACAAGGTTTAAATGTGGAATTACCAACTGTTCTGTGTCCTTATACTATTGATTTTTTTTGTTTGAGATTTTTTGAGATTTACCCATATTGATACATGCAGTTTTAGAACTTTGTTTTAAAACAACACAATTAATGCATCCTTTCTGTCACTGATAGGAATTTCGATTTTTTTCCTGTTTGTCTTATAAACACTGATGTAACATGTAAATAATCTGATACATAGCTTCCCAGGCACGGATGGCAAGAGATTTCTTGGAGTAGAATTGGTAAATCATGGGTAATTGTCAAATCTCTCCTCAGAGTAGCGACACTAATTTCCTTTACTTTTCCCACAAGCAGCGCATACAAACTGATGTGGGTCCACATTTCTTGCCAGACCTTGGTGTACATGTTTCATTTTTTCCAGATCTCCATGAATGGCAGGAAGGGAGTTGGGCTGATGGGGCCAAGGTTTAACAATTATGAGGAGAATGTCAGTTTTGAGGAATTTCCTATTGTTACATTTATTTTACTGGAGAAATACTCTTGAGTTTTGCTGAAAGTAAAACTTCTGTGGAAAGTAAGACTTCTGTGGAAAAATGGTTCCATTTCCACCCTGAAGTTGAGGATTTTGCCCCCCTTTCTGTGTATATTCTTGACACACAGCTTGCTAGTGTTCTAAATGTTCACTTGCAGTAATAGATATTTTTAAATGTTTCAAATAGCTTGAAGTATTGGATATATTCTTACTGCTTTTCCGAGTTTTGAATTTTTAAAGATGAATCAAATTTAAAATATGATACAGCTTTATGTATCCAGATTGATCATAATTATTTGCCACCATATAGTCATTTCACAGTGGGAAAAATACATGATGGGAAAATGTATTTTTATTTTTTTTAAACTGCAGAAAAGTCGTAAAGAGTAACTTTCATCATTGTATGTTGTCTCTTCTGTTTACAGGCAGGAAAGGAGAAGTTCCACAAATCTCAACACTGGGGCTTTTGTAACAATGTTATGATGTTAGTAAGTGATGAGAAACCTGGAATAGGTGGAGAACCGCTGATTGGGCAAAAGCCGAAGCCTAAATACAGTATCTATCCTACAGGAATGGAATCAGATGTACCATCATGGGTAGCTTTTGACAAACAGGTAAGTTATACACTTGGAGAAATACAATGTTACAATTTTTAAAAATCATTTTATTAGGGGCTCATACAACTCTTATCACAATCCATACATACATCAATTGTGTAAAGCGCATTTGTACATTCATTACCCTCATCATTCTCAAAACATTTCCTCTCCACTTAGGCCCCTGGCATTAGGTCCTCATTTTTCCCCTCCCTCCCCGCTCCCCTCTCCCTCATGAGCCCTTGATACAATTTTATATGTACTAAATACTAAGAATGTTTGAGAAAATAGAAGTCCTTGATATAAATGTTTAAGGCTAGTTCTCCTGAAAAGACACATTCAAGAACAATGTACCCTAGAAGAAAAAATGGTCTGTACCATGCTGTTTCTGACCAGAAGTATTGACTGAAGGGCATCTGCTATTTCTTTCTTGATGATTGCTTATCAGCCTCTCTCTCATCTCCTCCCTGGACAGGATAGTCTGCCCTTCTGTAGACACTGAGACCAGACTGTTGCTTAGCAGGTTGTCATTAATTAAATATTTTTTATCCTAATTGTGGCATTAAGTAAGAACAACCTACTTTTACAGTGGTTTTTTTTCTGCATATTAACTATGGTTCTCCATCATTATAGACTGAATACTGCCATGGGAAAAAGTATAGAGGTAAAAGGGAAAATGTTCCAATATTAGATAAGGCTTTGACCTTTTTAAAGTACACGTGTACACAAAGTACATGCACGTATATACAGAGATTTTGACAGGTGAAAAGTTAATCATTTGAATATCTTAGGGACTAGATTAAAAGGAAAAAACGAGATAACCAGTTATTTCCCATATGCGATATTTATCAGAAAACCTGTTATCACTGTTCCATGTCCTGTTTTCCAAAAGTGACCTGTGTCACTAGATTATTTTAAGAGCAATATTTAAAAAATAATTCTGGACTTGATAGATCAAGAATTCAAACATTCATTATTCAATACCAAGTTTACCAGGTGGGATTTAACAGCTTTTACAAGAATGGTTTGGCAGTGATTTGATTCCATTTAAAATGTTCATAAATTTGGTAGAATTGATACATTCCATGTCCTCTGTGTCCAGGTAGGTCATTTACTTCACATGTGTTTTGAATCACATGTCTGGTGGCACTTACGTAATTCTGACTGGCCACTGGGAAGCTTCTTGCCCGGGAAGCTTTTGAATATGGGCCAATATTTCTTCTTTTTAAAATTTATTTCAGTTTTGAGTACCTGGCTCAGTGCTGGACTCAGAATTCAGAAAGTATTTCTATGTTGACTTACATGGGTGAATTATACATGGCTTTGTTAATCTCCATCTCCCAGGTCTATGTACATTGCTCTAAAACATATACGTTTACATGAGCCAAGGACAAGATTCAATTTTTACTTTCTTTTCTCAAAAAGGGGATATTGACAATATTTTAAATTAATCTACTGCTGAATTAGTAATGTCATAGACCACAATGCATTAATCTGTTTTCTGGGATTTAAAGTTGAAAATTCCTTTTATTTTATGCTTTCCTCAATACTTAATATGTGCCTTTCAAGCTTACTTTGCAGCTAGCCCTTTGATTTCTTTTAAAATTATGTGGAATATTTCATGAAGTTGGAATAATTTTAGCTTCAAACCACTTGAGAAAACAAAGAGCTTGCTCATTCCAGGCCTAACTGAATGCAACATAATTCTTTCAGTTATTTTGTTGGTCAACTTCAATGAAATATTAATCGAGTTTTAAATGAGACACTAAACTATGAAATATTTACGTGCTCTGATGAGATTGTGCACTACGGATTAAATCCTGGTTAATAACAGAGCAAATTATAAAGCACTTTCTACATTCATGTCTCAACAAAACAAGTCAACATCTGTTAATCCTTTTTCATAAACATGAGACATTTCAACCCATTGCCAGGTGTTTTTTTTTTTGCAGTGGTTTTTAATGGTAACTGCATATGTAGAATAAGCTCTTCTCAAACAATACAAAGGAAAAATAAAGGTAATTCTTTGGAAGATGAATGAAAAAAATCAGTATTTTTAGTCGATACTGCTGGTGCCTGTGCATACAGACCCATGGGAGAGATGGTGTGCCCACCTCCCCAGCTGCTGCAAGTGTTTTGAGAAACAGCTCACATTGCTCTCGGCTGCTGGGGGTTATCTCCCAGAGACACTTGCCACCTACCCCCTCCATTAAGAATTGGGGGAGTGGGTGAAAAGCTCAGCTTCTTGCCACAAGCCAGGGTGATCTAGGTCCATTAGCTCTATGGGCAACAGCCCACGGCTTAACTTCACCTGAGAACACTTGCTTGCATAGCTCGTTTTCACGTCCCTCGTTTCTGTACAGGGTCTTCCCAAGAGTGCACCTTTAGCAGATCACGTGTACTTAAATTCTCCTGGTAGAACCCAACCTAAGACTGCATTCCAGGTTTTAGACAAAATTCTAACAGTCATCATCCAAATGCTGTGTTCAGGCAGCCTATCACATTCTAAGCAGTGTAGATGCTATTTGCAAACACCGGGAAGAGCCATCATGGAATATCCTGCATGGTCCCCATGGTGAACACTTCTAGCTGTTTAACCCTTTATTCATTCTCCTCCTCTTTTTACAAATAAAACACGTTTTATTCAGGCTGGGAAAGTGCCTACTTAAAATGTTCACTTCCCCAGGCTTCTTGTTACTAGGCTGGCCATATGACTGAGTTCTGGCTGGTGATATATGAGTCAAGGTTTATTGGGTAGATCTCCTGGGAAAATGATTGTTTGTCTAATAAAAAGCCAGGCTCAGCTGGTATGCTTTTCCTGCCCTTTGACCTACCATTCATTGTTTTCCTGCCTAGAACTAGGATACCATTCTTCAGCATGCAGCAGCCATCTTGTGGGCACAGCACAAAGATCAAAGGAACTTGATCCCTGTCAGCATCAGAGAGCCAACATTCGAGCCTCTGGCTGCCTCTCTAGCTGAACTTCTTGATATATGGAAAATAGCAGCCTTTGCTATTTAAGAGGTTGTCCACCTGAGAGGGCATTAGAAAATGTGTGGAGGTGTTTTGAGTTGTCATAGTGACTGGAAATGGGGCCACATTAAGGCTAGGCAAGTGAGTCCACCCCTTGGGTGCAAAACATAAAGGTTTCCAAAAACTCAGTAACCAAAAGAAATAATATTTTAACGCAATATCTTTTTTAACAGTTTTATTAGCACTTCATCTACATGTCATGTAATTAAATCATATCAAAAAGAGTTGTACAAGTATCATCACAGTCAATTCTAGAACATTTTCTTCTTCCTTGTATTCATTGTTATTCATGTAATTAATTTTTTCTAATTGTTGTAAGAAAAATAAACACCACAAAATATTCTCCAGTTCAACAACTGCTACATGTATAATTCATGGCCAATGAATCACTCTTTGTGTTGTGCAACCATTATTGATAACCCTTTCCAAATTATTTCACCATCATTAACATAAACTTAATGCCCCTTAAGCAACATGCAGTATCTTTAAAAAATAAAACTTAAGGCCCCAAATCCATGAGGAACCAAATTGCTACATTTTAATACATAGATGGGATCAATAACTGGGCTGCCTGAGTCTTAATGGAACCAGAGGCAAAAGGAAGAATCAGTAATACTGATCCTGCCTTTGTTCATCATGGATATTTTTGCCTTAAGTTTGATTATTTAAATCACTTCATGCTAGGATGAGCCCTGCCTAGAAGGTGCTACTGCCATTGATTCACTAAGGCCCAAGTGTGCATTTCAAATTCTGTAATGTGGGAGGGCACCCCATACTGGGAAGAATTCTCCTTCAAATGCCAGTAATGCCTTTATTGAGAAACTGCTGTCCCAATTGCTTAAAACTCTGGGCATTGAGGGGATGTATACAAACAGACAGATATAATTTTGCCTGATATAGCACCCTCAACAAACACCAGCTATTTAATAAAATTAATTTAAATAGGAGCAGGCACATAGTCATTTACACCAATTATTTCTAGTCATCTTCTCAGCACCTCCATGAGGAAACAAACACGTGCAATTGGAGAATCACTCTAAATGGAACTGGGGCAAGGATTTTGGGACTGGTTTTAGAAACACTGGATCTGGTCCATGGTTGTGGCTTAGTTATGTCACCTATCTGAGCCTTAGTTTCCTTGATTAAAAGGTGGCGTATGCTTAGCCCAGGCATTGGGCTGCTAACCCCAAGGTCTGTGGTTCAAACCCACCAACTGCTCCCTGGGAAAAAGATGAGCTTGTCTGCTCCCATGAAGATTTACAGTTTCAGAAACTCAATATAGAGTTGCCATGAGTTAGAATCGACTAGATCACAGTGAACTTTAATCTACAGCTGAGATTTAGTTTTAATCTACACCTGAGGCGTGACCACAATTAAATTTAGAGGGTTCATCCTAGAACAGCTCAGACTCTGGGACTCCTGGCTTGAGGCTCTCTCTAATTATACTAGGCACTGATGGCTTCATTATTAATTTAAATTTGGCATTTAGCAGTTTCTGATATGCTGCAGTTGCTACCGCATATGAACTATCATTAACTGCTTTTATAAAAAGTCAGAATATTTAGAAATGCACAGTTGACTGAATGGTTTTATATGACTTTTTATCTGGCAGTTAAGCACCATTTACATAGACACTGCAATTATGCTCTCATTTCTTTTCATTTGTCAATAGCTCCTAGTTAGCCTAATTTGTTTGCCATTTCGTAAATGACTCATTATAGTAAGTGGCAGGATAAAGGTTGATTTTATGGAGGGATGCATGCATTTAAAAATATTACTTTAATTTTTCCATCTATTGTAAGCATAATAATTATAATCAAAATTACTGACCACAGAATTAGAATTTTAATGACTGCATGAATTGACACTGGGTTTTTTGGTTAACTGATTATATAGTAAATCTCTGGGCTTTGAACAGTATACAAATATGCTTTTCAAAAGTAATTTTATCTGTTGGTCACCTTGATTTATTTTTCCTTTATGGA